ATTATATAAGTACTATACGTACTGTACGTACTGTACGCTAAAAAATTTTGGACATCATATAAATGGCACATCACTAGGTGCACGTAATAAAATTATATGAAGATGCGAAAATTTTGAATTCTTTTTTTTTTTTTTATAATCTAGTCTGGTGAAAGAGGTTAGAAGAAGTATTTTGCATATTATTAATTCAGTAATCTAAGTAGATTTAGAGGAGAATTCATTACGAAATTCCGAAATTCGTCATCTTACTGTTGAAGCTTGATATTTAAAATCCAAATTTCATTATATCGACAATACAATTATTGCAACATTAATTGGCTCCGTTCATTGACACATATATTATATTCTCTATAAAGTATAAATATGCCGAATACTAGCGAAAAAAATGCGCTCATTGTAGAAGTACATATTGATATGTCATATAAATGTTACAATATAACAAACCCATCTTGATTAGTAAGAAGCCTAATGCTAATTGGTCTAAATTCACATCCCAATATTAGAGAGCTTGTGATGCAATCTATGGCTCTAAACAATCTAATCACTCGAATGATGTCTTCTTTTCATGAGTACTATCCTATTATAACCTGTAAACAAAAAATTTGTTTTCACCATATCAACTTAAAATGAATCAACATAATAAAATTACATGAGTTATCCATTACGACTAATATATCTTGTATTTAAAAAAAATTGGTATATACATTTGTTACTCGTATATTTTATTTGACATTTTATAGCAGCTCCGGTACTACAGGTTTTAATTTGATAGCACTCATATTAATAAAAGCCTTTTATTATTAGGGTTTTAGATAGGATAATTGAAAGTAACAGCTTTTTCAATGTATGCAACGTGCATCAGATTAAAATTTGCGTCAGATCACAAAATTCAAATGCGAAGTTTATCAGATTAGGGTGAGTAACTATGTTAGGTTTAGCGGAATTTAATTTGACTCACAACATAATCAGAATACTGAAAATTTCGAATAAACTTAAAATTAGCCAAAACTATAATTAGATTGCATTATATATTATATAGCAGCTTTTGAAAAACCAAAGAAATATAATTATAATTTTGACTATTTGTACATAATAATTTTATAGCTATTGTATTTGCATTAAAGAAGTCATAAAATTTCACAAAGAAAAAATATTTCTAAAACACAAAACTAAAGCATCGCAAGGCAATCTAAAGGCAATATATTAAATTATATCGGATTTTTTTTAAAAACTAGTTGCATTAGATTTCGCATGTAGAAACTTTTCTACTGAGCGTTCTTTCCTTTTCGCACCGATATGACTGCATTTTATATTACTTATATGAGATAACAATTGTGCATATTTCGCTTTCACACAAAGTTTTTAATAGAATTTAATTCTGAAAATTTCAATATGAGTGTATGTAATTTCAAGAACACCTGATCTATACTCAATTAGATACATATCATTTTCTTAATTCTATAAAAGCCTATTTTTTAAAAAGGACATTTAAGATTCGGTTATTCTTTATTTTAGTAAAAGAATTTGATTTGCTGGTTGATATAGTAAATATTACACAAATTTATTTAGAATTCCGTAGCAACTTATATTGGTTTAGAATCAATAACAAGGTCGTACTTAACATCATTGAAATCGCTCTTAATTAGGCTAGATATGCATGCACGTTCGGTGTTTTGCGATATGCACCCTATTTTGGGTAAAAAAAAAAAACCGATGTCGGTGTTTAAAAAATAAATCATAAAAAAATTCCACAATTCATCTGAGTTTAGATAAAGTTCGTATTGCTTCCAATGTTTCTTCGGAACTAGTGAGTGATTGCATGTCCGTATTTGAGGCTTTAGGTGCATTATCCAGAATAAATTCACCTAGCTTACTTGAATCGCTGGAGGTATCATTGGAGTGTTTGTCGTTGTTAGATTCAATTTTATCATCTAAATAAAGAAATCACCTTAATAAAATCGCAGATAATTAAAATGAAACATAAATAATAATGTGCAGATATTCTACCAATATTACAATTATTGGATAAATGCGAGCCAGGTAATACTTGTGACTCTTCTTTTGGGTTGGATTCTAAATAAAATATTCATGTTATTAAAGAATTTATTAAATAAAAACCATATTATAATAAATGCTGATAATAATTTATCTTTAATATTTGATATGTGTTAATTACCTTCATGACGTTTGTACATAGTCTTAGTCCTATAATTAAAGAAATCTTCATTATTTGACTCTGGTTGCACAATTTGTTGATTATTCTTGATATTTTCATTCGTTATAAATTCAATAGTTGTTTTATTTGATAAATTCTCAAGTTCTATCAAAATTTGATCTAGTGTTGGACGTTGATCTGGATCAGATGACCAACATTCCTTGATGAGATTGGCGTAATCTGATGGTGTATTGGCAATAATTTTCTCTCTATTATCCTGCGAAATTTCTAAGATTATGGCCGCAAAGTTAAGACCATGAAACGGTGGAATTCCACTTGTGAGTTCCCATAGCAATACTCCAAGGCTATAAATGTCTGATCTTTCATCGCGGCTAACTTTATCTTTGAGAAGATAAATTTCGGATTTTTCGTCGCGGCTAACCTTATATCGGAGGAGGTATCGTGGGTCAGTATATGCTACCATGCCTGTTGTATTTGAGCTTGATTCGGTAGTATCATTTAATTGTTTCGATATTCCAAAATCTGCGATTAAGACTTTTCCATCATTTATTAAAATAGTCTTAGAATGCTAGAGAAATTTTTACAATTAAAATTTAGGATTTAGATTAAATTTTAAACTAAACTATATTAAAATTTAACACAGAAATCAAAACTCACTAGGTCACGATGGATGATGCCATTAGTATGCAAATGTTTCAATCCAAGAGTAATTTCTTTTGCGATTTGGATGAGTTTAATACATGAGATTTTATAAACATTATCATATTGTCTTTTTTGTAAATGATCCCGTAAATTTCCTCCGTTTGCAAATTGTAATACCAACATGAAATTACCGGTTCGTGAATCTAAATTATCCGATAATTGTAAATTTTATAATTTATTAAACATATGAATATACAATAAATTTGGTTATTTGGACATTTACATACCTTTTGAAATTCCACAGAGTTCAATAATATTTGGATGACGAACTTTATGTAAGTATTTAATCTGCGCACAATAGTTTATTATACAGAAGTTGTTAATTTTGATGTTAAATATAAATAAATAAATAAAATATAGAATAATAATGAATAGTTCATTACCTCACGTTTAATTTGTTTAAATCTTTTTTCATCCAACAATAAGTTATTATTTAAACTTTTCAGAACATATTTCTTTTTCTGAAAAATAGTCAAATACACGATTGCAGATCCTCCTCGTCCAATTATTTTTATTTCACTAAATTGCGAGTAAACAAAGCTTTCTATCCCAATATTTTTCAGATACTCTTCCAACTCTGAATAATCAACCACTAATATTATATAAACATTCATCATTAATACGTATTTTAACTAAGTATTCAAATCATTATTAACACGCTAGCTTACATGCTTTTTCTGACATTTTTGTTCTATATAAATTATGAATTTTTACAGTCTTAAAAACTTGTTTATTTTTCTCGCTCTTGATTTAATGAATATATTTGAAAACAGGAAAAACTCTTCAATGGTTTGAAATTGAGAGAATAAAACGAAAGTTCGATGAAAACTCCGAAAAATTCTTTATTTAGAAAGTGTAATAGTTTTGTTATATCATATGCTCCGATTTTTGGAATTTATAAAAAAAGCATATTTTTTTAAAACTTTAAAGCTAAATAATTTTTGATCTACTAGTCCATTTTAAATAATTTTACTACCAAAATGTTCGTCTCTTTGAGACTATTCCAACGAGCCCAAAATCATGAAAATCCAATCACAGGGTCATGAGAAATGTGCCATCAAATAGGTGATACACCTGAAATTGGTTTGACATATATCAAACCAATTTCAGGTGTGTCACCTATTTGATAGTGCATTTTCTCATGACTCTGTGATTGGATTTTTATGATTTTGGGCTCGTTGGAATCGTCTCAAAGAGATAAACATTTTGGCAGTAAAATTATTTAAAATAAACCAGTAGATCAAAAATTATTTAGCTTTAAAGTTTTAAAAAAGTATACTTTTTTTATAAATTCTAAAAATTGGAGCATATGAAAAATTTAAAATAATCTATATAGGTGTAGCATTATTCCAATTTCCTATATATATAAGTTTGTCCAAAACCAATTAAATTTAGTTTTGGTTTTGAACAAGGTTTTGGACAGGTTTTAAACAAGGTGTCCAAAAACCAAAACTGTCCACTAGATTACTATATAAATTTACTATAGCGCGAATCTAGTGATCGCCCAAGGTAAACTTTTTTTATACTAAGTTAATCACTTTTCTAAAAGACTTTTGTAGAGCTTGTCAAAGCACATTTAATTGTGTTAGAGCATCAAAATTGGCTTAGTGTGTGCTGAAATATCTTTAAAAAACGTTTTTTTTATTATATAAACTTCTTTGCAAACAATAGTATTATATTAGTATTATATTAGTATTTTAAATTTTCTATTATTTATCTATATGTAACTACTAAGTGTAGTACAAATATTATTTA